ATTTCGCCCAATTGTCCTTTCGTGCATTTATCATCAGCACATCGCACACGGTATAACGATGTGCGATCACACAGCTCTATTGATTTGCTATTTCATTGCGTTTATGAGTAACACCGGTAAGTAAGTTGGTCCTGTCTGATATCAGTTCTTTAGCTACACATGTACATTGACGTTGTAGGTCAGTCCACCTATGTGTCGTTGGGAGAATGGCACGTGTATGTGTGATAGGAGCTGGTGTAGTACACACAAGGATTAACAATATTCATCTCACACACAGCACTTACACACAAGGATTAACAATATTCATCTCACACCAGCACTTACACACCATTCAACAATATTCATCTCACATAGCAGACAACAAGGATTAACGCACTCAGCACTTACAAGGATTAACAATATTCATCTCACACTCAGCACGTACACACAAGGATTAACAATATTCATCTCAGACTCAGCACGTACACACAAGGATTAACAATATTCATCTAACACTCAGCACTAACAAGGATTAACAATATTCATATCACACTCAGCACTAACAAGGATTAACAATATTCATCTCAGACTCAGCACGTACACACAAGGATTAACAATATTCATCTCAGACTCAGCACGTACACACAAGGATTAACAATATTCATCTCACATTCAGCACGTACACACAAGGATTAACAATATTCATCTCACACTCAGCACTAACAAGGATTAACAATATTCATCTCACACTCAGCACGTACACACAAGGATTAACAATATTCATCTCACACTCAGCACTAACCAGGATTAACAATATTCATCTCACACTCAGCACTTACACACAAGGATTAACAATATTCATCTCACACTCAGCACTTACACACAAGGATTAACAATATTCATCTCACACTCAGCACGTACACACAAGGATTAACAATATTCATCTCACACTCAGCACTTACACACAAGGATTAACAATATTCATCTAACACTCAGCACTTACACACAAGGATTAACAATATTCATCTCACACTCAGCACTTACACACAAGGATTAACAATATTCATCTCACACTCAGCACTTACACACAAGGTTAAGCAATATTCATCTCACACTCAGCACGTACACACAAGGATTAACAATATTCATCTCACACTCAGCACGTACACACAAGGATTAACAATATTCATCTCACACCAGGATTAACACATTCACACTCACACACACAAGGATTAACAATATTCATCTCACACTCAGCACTACACACAAGGATTAACAATACACACAAGGATTAACAATATTCATCTGACACTCAGCACTTACATACAAAGATTAACAATATTCATCTCACACTCAGCACGTACACACAAGGATTAACAATATTCATCTCACACTCAGCACGTACACACAAGGATTAACAATATTCATCTCACACTCAGCACTAACCAGGATTAACAATATTCATCTCACACTCAGCACTTACATACAAGGATTAACAATATTCATCTCACATTCAGCACTTACACACAAGGATTAACAATATTCATCTCGAACTCAGCACTTACAAGGATTAACAATATTCATCTCACACTCAGCACTTACACACAAGGATTAACAATATTCATCTCACACTCAGCACTTACACACAAGGATTAACAATATTCATCTCACACTCAGCACTTACAAGGATTAACAATATTCATCTCACACTCAGCACTTACATACAAGGATTAACAATATTCATCTCACATTCAGCACTTACACACAAGGATTAACAATATTCATCTCTCACTCAGCACTTACAAGGATTAACAATATTCATCTCACACTCAGCACTTACACACAAGGATTAACAATATTCATCTCACACACAGCACTTACACACAAGGATTAACAATATTCATCTCACACTCAGCACTTACACACAAGGATTAACAATATTCATCTCACACTCAGCACTTACAAGGATTAACAATATTCATCTCACACTCAGCACTTACACACAAGGATTAACAAAAATCATCTCACACTCAGCACTTACACACAAGGATTAACAATATTCATCTCACACTCAGCACTTACACACAAGGATTCAATATTCACACTCAGCACTTACACACAAGGATTAACAATATTCATCTCACACTCAGCACTTACACACAGGGATTAACAATATTCATATCACACTCGGCACTAACAAGGATTAACAATATTCATCTCACACTCAGAAATTACACACAAGGATTAACAATATTCATCTCACACTCAGAAATTACACACAAGGATTAACAATATTCATCTCGCACTCAGCACTTACAAGGATTAACAATATTCATCTCACACTCAGCACGTACACACAAGGATTAACAATATTCATCTCACACTCAGCACGTACACACAAGGATTAACAATATTCATCTAACACTCAGCACGTAGACACAAGGATTAACAATATTCATCTCACACTCAGCACGTACACACAAGGATTAACAATATTCATCTCACACTCAGCACTTACACACAAGGATTAACAATATTCATCTCACATTCAGCACTTACACACAAGGATTAACAATATTCATCTCACTTACACACAAGGATTAACAATATTCATCTTACACACCAGGATTAACAATATTCATCTCACACTCAGCACTTACATACAAGGATTAACAATATTCATCTCACACTCAGCACTTATAAGGATTAACAATATTCATCTCACACTTAGGACTTACAAGGATTAACAATATTCATCTCACACACAGCACTTACACACAAGGATTAACAATATTCATCTCACACTCAGCACGTACACACAAGGATTAACAATATTCATCTCACACTCAGCACGTACACACAAGGATTAACAATATTCATCTCAGACTCAGCACGTACACACAAGGATTAACAATATTCATCTCACACTCAGCACGTACACACAAGGATTAACAATATTCATCTCACACTCAGCACACTACACACAAGGATTAACAATATTCATCTAACACTCAGCACTTACACACAAGGATTAACAATATTCATCTCACACTCAGCACTTACATACAAGGATTAACAATATCCATCTCACATTCAGCACTTACACACAAGGATTAACAATATTCATCTCACACTTAGCACTTACAAGGATTAACAATAATCATCTCACACACAGCACTTACACACAAGGATTAACAATATTCATCTCACACACAGCACTTACACACAAGGATTAACAATATTCATTCATACACACAAGGATTCACATCTCAGCACGTACACACAAGGATTAACAATATTCATCTAACACTCAGCACTAACAAGGATTAACAATATTCATCTAACACTCAGCACATAAACACAAGGATTAACATCTGACACTCAGCACTTACAAGGAGTAACAATATTCATCTAACACTCAGCACTAACAAGGATTAACAATATTCATCTGACACTCAGCACTTACATACAAAGATTAACAATATTCATCTCACACTCAGCACGTACACACAAGGATTAACAATATTCATCTCACACTCAGCACTTACACACAATAATTAACAATATTCATCTCACACTCAGCACTTACAAGGATAAACAATATTCAGGTAACATTCAGCACTTACACAAGGATTTACAATATTCATCTCACACTCAGCACTTACATACAAGGATTAACAATATTCATCTAACACTCAGCACTTACACACAAGGATTAACAATATTCATCTAACACTCAGCACGTACACACAAGGATTAACAATATTCATCTAACACTCAGCACTCGAATTACATTATATCCCCACCACACACACACACACACAGAATAACCATAACGATATTTAAGTGTTCAATGATTCATGTTTTATACATTATGCTGGATACTTTCCGGATGTATTGTGTGTGACACATACTATATTATGTACATGTTCAGCTTTGAGCTTACATGTAGGGACAACCTAACTTTCTTAAAATCACTACTATGAATTAGGTTTAACTTTATCCGTGAAATTACAATATCTAAAAACAGTACAATATTTAACCAAATCTTAAGTATGTTAAATAAAAATCCTCGACGTTTTCGACAAACTGATCACAGTCAATAATAGTTAAGTTAGAATTCAATATATTCATTACGTCCTGTATTAACACATCTGTTGTGTATATATATAAACTCCATCACGGTGTCTATTACACACACGAAAACAGCATCCGTGCTAATGTTTTTTTTTTACTGAAGAAGATTGTTGCTTAAGGAGCGGTATAAATGTCTTAATACATCCGAGTACATCCTATTTTACCTAAGAATGGTTGTATCACTGTTCTGGTGACTCGACATCTTGGTTTCAATTCTAGCACCACCTACGATTCCTAGAGGTTCGAATTGGGGCAACAGTCGAATACAGACAAAGATTATACAAAGACACACCATTGAACATATTTTTATAGTTACAGTATTTAAAAGTAAGGATTGGCAAAAACGCAAAATCCTGTGGTGACGTAGATAATCCTTCAAGTTGAATATTTCCCAACGGAACGTACAATAGGCACACAATGTATATCATGTTTAGATTTAAAAAATAAGAATTAGATGTGTAATATATCAGCCAAATGATTTAACTGAACAAATGAATTTTGATACTGGCTCAAAGTGTGTTATTCTAAAAGGCGAAAAATAAATTTGCATAATTTTCATTATTTGCGTTTATATGAAATGATGCGTGACACGCAATTGTCTAAACCTGAACAATATTGCTTTCTTATGTTTTGGGTTAGGGTTTCTTGTTTTCTGGGTGGGGATTTATTATCAATTCACACACGAAACAAACAAACATGGTGTAAATCGTGAGACAAGCAAACAGAATACAAAACAGTGACAGTCGGTGTGTATATACATTTAAGCACAAGTCCGACCAAACAACACTGAGCGACACTCTAGTAAAATAATGTCCTAATCGATGCAAAGAATGTCAACATAATCATAATATATACAAACCCAAATTCCATAAAACTAGGGCATAATGGGAACAAAGAAAAATCTTCACAGAGACAAGGAGAACAAGACCAGGTGTTCCGGAAGAACAAACACCCGCGATGTCAACCTTGGTCAATCCAAGTATTAATGACACGTTATCAAATAAAAACAAGGTATACAACGGACAATCACACGTGCATCAACACGTCCAGTTTCATATCGCTCAAACAAATAGAATATGAATCAATATGATCACTATGGTGACGATTAAATCTCGTGCATCAAATAATTATATTTCAGTAGTTTTTTTTTCATTTTCTATGGCATATAAGATAACCTTCTTATTTCCATACTAGTTCCATTATCATACAGAACATAGGCGTCTTCTTTCATCAAACTTATCTCCGAAAGTTACGCTTAAGATAGATACAACAATATTGGTCTTTTATCCGTTTATAGGAGATGGGCAAATGAGACATGGAAGTTTTACTCAAAGATGGCGACCTCGGACATGGCGTGCGAGACTGGACATAGTGTTTCGTCAGGTTACATCTTCAGTAGAGAAAAGATCGTGGTGAGTGTAAAGATCGTGGTGAATGCAAGATCCTGGTAAGTGTAAGAATATGGCGAATGTAAGATCGTGGTAAGTATAAGGTCGGTGTATGTGTAAGATCGTGGTAAGTGTGGGATCGTGGTAAGTGTAAAGATAGTGGTGAATGCAAGATCGTGGTAAGTGTGAGATCGTGGTGAATACAAGATCGTGGTAAGTGTGAGATCGTGGTTTGTGTAATATTGTGGTAGGTGTAAGATGGTGGTTGGTGTAAGATCATTGTAGTGTGAGATCGTGGTTGGTGTAAGATCGTGGTACGTGTGAGATCGTGGTTGTTGTGATATTGTGGTAAGTGTGATATCGTGGTAAGTGTAAGACTATGGTGACTGTAAGATCGTGTTACCTGTAAGATCGTGGTAGGTGTAAGATCGTGGTAGGTGTAAGACTTTGGTGACTATAAGATCGTGTTATCAGTAATATCGTGGTAGGTGTGAGATCGTGGTTGGTGTAAGATCGTGGTACGTGTGAGATCGTGGTTGGTGTGATATTGGGTAAGTGTGATGTCGTGGTAAGTGTAAGGCTATGGTGACTGTAAGATCGTGTTACCTGTAAGATCGTGGTAGGTGTAAGATCGTGGAAGAACAGTGATGACGTAGGAAGGTCAGTTCACTGTTACATCCAAACACTTCTTCTTGATTCTCAAAAAACCAAATATCCGATTTCAATTACTCCAAATGTCAAGTATATGATTAATCTCGACTGTCTTATGATAGCTGATGACTTGTCAGCTTTTAAGATAAGTTATTGAATATATGCTGAACATTAACATTTAATTTATTTTGACAGGACCCGATATACGAAAGTATTGTGTTCAGCTGTAGGGAGATGTCAATAGCTGAATTAACCAGTCTCGGTATAACACAATACCGGTAAGTAGGAGTTCTCAAGCCGTGCATATTTACAGTAATATAGAGTCAAATATTGAATTAAACTCCATCATACAGATGTTTCGTCCTTCTAGGACTCGTCAGTGATTCTGCATCATACAGCAAATTCATCCTTCAAGGGCTCGGCAGTGTAGCTAAGGGTTTATCTAGTTGAAATTTAATAGGCGACCGTGGAAGATCCAGATCTGCGGAAATAAATGTGTTGACAGTTTCATGGAAGTCGATGTCGATCCTGACAGGAAATCTAATTCAGACTTGAAAGGGAGAAACTTCTACCTAATAACGTAATAACCCGACCATTTACGGATATTCTACTAAAATATGAGCTCAGAATACCGCAATGAATGATGTTGTTCTGTTTGAGTACATGCCTATATTTATAAGGTGTAAAAGGTCTGATTTAGAATACCGGAATTTTAGTACACATTACAGCGTATTTACCGTTGTAAATCGTATATATCAGAAAGGATATGTTAAACGTTTTCTGACAAAAAGCTTATTGTGAGTGAAATTAATACATAGAGTTTCCTGGATTTTGCTTGGTTTATTAGGACGAGAGCAATTCCTGGGGAAGGATGTCCTTACGTGTATGAATCACTCGTATCCGACTAGCAGTGTTTACTATCTTGTTTTGTATTAACGAGTTAGAACATACATGTCTGTAATATACACTCAGCTTTTCGTTGTAGTATCGTAGCGGTGATGAGATCCGGTTCTTTATTTGGTGCAATATCGTAGGGCAATGTACGGAAGCGTATTCCGGCCAGGTTGTGTTTTTATTTTTACTCGAAATTTCGAGATAGTAACTCGAAATATCGAGTTAGTAATCCGAAAATTTGAGTTAGTAATCCGAAATTTTGAGATATTAACCAGAAATTTCGAGTACGCTTCCTTACCAATAAGATTTCTTTTTTTTCCGTAGAATTATCTACATTTGAGTTGGGATATGTCATAGGCAATATGACGTCACCATTATTTGCTGAGAATAATAGGTTCTTTCCCTGGCTTCTGGGTTGGACAGTGAAAACTCTGTCTAACTCGAGGCTTTGCCGAGGGTGCGACTGTCGGGCGTACCCTCCGAGGGTAGAGATTTTATCTACCTCATATCGTCAACATACTATAAATAGAACAACGAGACAAATATTAAAACAAAATCAGGCAAATAACGACATTTATTTTTACCGATTTGTAATCTACATTATACACTGTACAAAGACAATCGTGGTGATACACCAATGTCATAATGCATCTAAAATTGATTTATATAAACATACATGATCAGACACTGTCTTACAAATTTAACTTAAGTTGTCCTTAGCAATCAGTCACGTCTCTAACGTCTCAAATTAACAACTTCCGGTTTAGCACGTGTTTATGTTCTTTGGATAGAGATAATTTACCCTCAGCGGAAGTGTGGATATTTCTGTCTGATGTGGTTAGAAAAAATGATTATCTATGTAACTTAATCAAAGTTAAAGAAAACATGGAAAATAAATGGACGGCGAACTTCGCTAATGATCGTGTTAAACACTCGCGTAAATTTGTCTATTTGATTTTTTAAATTCCTTTACAGGTACGGGTACCACATCACAACGGTTTTGACGGAGATGCGAAAGTATATGCCTTGGCTAATGAATAAGTAAGTGTCATGTGATCAATACCGTCATTTTCATCATGTTAGCACGACACTATAGTAGGTCTGCTTTTAACTTACAAGATACCGTAAACTTTATCTAATGTCGCAAACATATGAACAAAGAACATAAGTTTACGGAAGCTTTCATTCTTTTATTGCGACAGATGGTTGAACATATCCTAATGACCAGTAAAACGAACACCAGGCTAGCATATGAACAGTCGATGTTGCCTTTCAGATGACCGTAATAATCATTTTATAACATATTTGCATGAATGTTTGGAGCCGAAAATATATAGTGATAACATGGTCTTATTCTCCTCGTGCGTTTTAGAGGATCTCGGTGTAAACCATCTCATTGTTCCTATCTTCAACTGGTTATATTGACTTCAAATTACATTGGTGTTGCTTTTTTGGGTATTTTTTAATCTTCGCCTTTCTCTTTCCCGAATAAACAAAGCGTAGACATTAACAGTAGACTTGTAGGTTGATAAGGCCAACCAAAGCAAACTTAACTGTAAGTTATGAAATCAAATTTACTTTTCACCTGTATTTTTTTTCTTTTCATCTATTCATCTTATCATCTTAAGTATTGTTTTCAGTGTTTTTTACTTTAGATAACAGGACACTTCTAGTAAAGTATGCAGCTTACACATATTCTGACAGGAAGAAAGGAACATGTTATTTACATCAATAATAACTTTAGTAAAGTATTTCAGTTAAACTTACATAAGTTTAACATTAGTGTATGCTATATAACACTGAGTCTTGTCTCATTTTTTTCAGATTCAAAGAAAATGGTGGGAAAGTTGAGAAAAGGAAAATTCAAAACTTATCAGAGGTATGGGAAAATTATTCAATTTAATTATCTTAATTACGTTCGGAACAAGACAGCATACCTGATATCTACGAGGCATTTCTTAACAAAGTTTTTGTTGTTGATGTTTTGTATATCATTAGCTTGATAGAATAATTTTATAAAATATTTTTTTATCAGGATTAAATGTTTTAGAATCAAGAGTGATTTTGAAAATAGGTCCCTAACGTCGTTGCTGAGTCCAAAGAAGATAAAATATATGATGTAGTTTTATTCATTGTTCGGTCTATACTGTAACTGTTACTGAATTTGTTTCTTGATCTTTCACAATATAACAGATATTTAAATTGGTTTGGCCTTTATATACTTTCATAGGACCTTGTCCTTTCCAAATATAACAAATATTTACACTGGTTTGGCCTTTATTTACTTTAATATGTTTTTATGTATGTAATAGTGCTAAAGGACCACAATCTTAGCATGACGAAAGTAAAATGTCTACCTTCTCTGAGTGTTTAATTTAAAATATAAGATATATGGCTTCTGTTATATTATTTAAACGGTGTAATATCTATTTCCCCCCAGCTGTATGGTCAGTTTGACGTCGTGGTCAACTGTACCGGTCTAGGAAGCAGAGAGCTCCTTGGTGACAAAGAAATATTCCCTGTCCGCGGACATCTCATTCGGGTATAATATTATTAAATATCATTGTGTTGCTCAGAGAATTTTTCACGTCGTGTTCGGTTCATTAAATATCGTGTATTATGCGTACTGTTTGATTTTCTTGTAAAGACGCACAAGTTCCATTAATATTCCAGTTTGACTTTCCCTCTTATCATCACTGACGAGTCCTGTAAAGACGAAACAGTTGTATGATGCAGATCAAAGCATTCAACTTTATCTATCTGTAAAATTTTATTTCAATCATACTGCTCATCTCTTAGTCTTTTTGTAAAATATTTAAAATCTTGAATATTTATTCCTAGTAACGTTGCAAAATTTATGTGTAATAGGTTTAATTTCATCAATTGGCGCAATGTCTATATTTGAATGTCTGAATCATCATTAAGCAGAACTTTGAAACTATCTACGACCTGTAATATTTGTCGTTAACAGGTAAGAGCCCCGTGGATAAAACAATGGGTATACACAGACGATGACACCTATTTTGTTACAAAGTAAGTTTAATTAAGGACGAAAAAATATCTTACACCGGTTGTTTATTTTATTAGTCGGTATCTACCGCAACCGGAATTAATACAATGGTTTGCTACCTGAAAATGTATAGTCCGGTCAAAACAATGTAAATTTGAAAAAAAAGGTTGATTCAAACGATTTATGATATTTTTTTTTATTAATTTTTTAATATAACTTTAAGATAATGCAATGCAACCAAGCTATCTTATTTAAACGTCACACATGTATGATGATATAAGATCTGTTCCTCTGCTTCACTGATGGCAACAGTAAATATCATTCATCTTGAATTACGAGTTTTCGTCGTCCCCCTCCCTTCCCGGCAAATTCGACAATTAATCAGGTATATCTCTGTGGCATGCGTTGTACATAAAAAGTTTAGTTCAACATGACTTGGAACCGAGAGATATGTTTTCAGGAGTTTCCGTGTAAATCTTTCTTTTGTTAATATTTTTCCTAGTTTTATCGAATTTCAGTTTGGATTATGAGTATGTTGACATGTTAGTGTTTTCTTGTTTTTATATGTTTTTATTATTTTAAATACGATAGTCTCTTGGCATATGCTTACAAATCCAGTACCCTCCAGTATTCCTTGTTTGTAGTGGTGACTACGTGGTCCTCGGTGGGATGAGACAGAAGGATAATTATAGTCTGGAGTTTGACCATCGAGACAGGGCAGGCATTCTTGAGCGGTGTCATAAGCTATGGCCTTCCTTACAGGTAAAAATAGACAGGTGACAAACTTCTTAATGACTGTATTATTTGGAAGTCCCTCAGTTCTGTCTCAACTTCATTTATACTCTTTCACTTTCCTGAATAAATAAAAATGCTGATTTAACAGGAGTTTCAAGAGCACGAAGGGCAGTGAAAACTTTTTTTTTATTTTGAAAATGCATAACGTATCCGCTCACAGATATCTATGTTAATATCATTGTAAGGTTTCGACAGAGATGGTACATGACTCATATCACCCTATACCGTATCTTAACTGCACAGAAAAAAAATAATATCAAAATACCTTAAACCTGCATTTATCTGCACTCATATCATTGTACCACCAAAACCACTTGCACCAATATTTTCTCTTCAATTTTCAATGATTATATTTAAACACTTTTCAGATCAGTCACCGATGTTAATTAGTCATAGTGACAAGACATTGTTGTGTTCCGAATGTTGAAGGTTATTGAAATAACATTCTAATATATGGATTTGTTATACCAGGGGGCCAAGATCGTGGACGAATGGGTGGGTTTAAGACCAACTCGATATCCGCTCAGGTTGGAGAAGGAGACTTTAAGGCTGCCACAAGGAGAAATGAAGGTGAGGCTAGCGAAATTTCTAGTTCTCGGAAACATAACTAGGAATTTTATTGTAAAACTTATAGTAAATTCATTTCAAAACTTTTAAGTTTGAAAACAAGATAGTAAGTGGAAGAACTTTGCTATTGGCGTTCAATACATACTGAATAACAAAATACATGTTTTTTTTCCAGATCGTTCATAACTACGGTCACGGTGCTAGCGGTGTAACGTTGAGCTGGGGCACGGCTGTGGAGGCAGCGCAACTCGTCAAGGATTCCATAACGGGCACAATTACCGCCAGAATGTAGAACATATTTTGTACATACCTTTTAATACGGAGTGTACTTACTTGTTAGCTCGCTGGATGACGGGATGTATACAATATAATATTCCAGAACATATTTATCTTGTTACTACATGTATTTGTTAACACTTATGGGAGTCTTGTACCCTACTTAATGTATGGTCCTTGATTTCTTTTGACAAAACGTACTTGTTTGATATATTTTCTTCTAAATTAAAGTGCATTGATTACAGGAATGGGGGCTTGGTTTCAATTGTGATAGTATTATATTGTATAATTTCGGCATAGCTGTTTAAACTTGCATCAATCGAACTGCGCTATGGATCTTGAACCTTGGGAAGGCGAAACCGTTAGAACCACGGTCAAATTTCATTGCATGCAATGCTCTATGTTGGTGAGTCACCTGAAACGGTTGAAAATAATCTTTCTTTTCTCCAAAATGAAAGAAATATAAACTGGCAGAAAAAAGGCACACGGAAATGACCTCAGATGACTGGAGTAACAACAATCCTTAGAACAAAAGGTCATTCTATGTGAAGTTCTATAGTGCTGGGCTACCTGAAATGTTTAAAGTTCGACATTTTTCTCCAAATTAACTCCTAGTAGCCACGACCAAAGTTAATTTCAGACTATTTTGTATTGGTTGGTCGCCCGATTGTTGAGGTGTATTGTCTTTCTCCAAAGTAATACGATTGAAATAAGACTTTGGAATATACATTGGAGCTACACCAAAATAGTCGTAGAGGATTGAAGTCACAACATAACACTTAGAGCGGCGGTCATTGCCATTCACAACACGGAACAACGCGAAAACTGAGAAATAGGGCGAGGCCAGACACAATATGAAGAAGTTATATTTCAATTTTTTTTAAATGTACACTCTCCTTGACCTGCTATCCTGGGTCTACACCTGGAGGTGACGTCATAAATACGAAAGCGTCCAGGAACTGCCGATGTGACAGTAGGGAATTGGTATTTATTTATTTATTTATTGTGACGTCACTCGCGCTAATATAGCGTTGACTGATAGAGTATTGCATGTAGGTACAATTTGGTTGTATACATATTTATGTAGGATATGGTATAGAATTTGGATCAGATCGAGGCTTTGATGAGGCTCTGAACCCTAATGTTCTATTTCCAAAGGTAGAATAACCATTATCCTACATCCATTAATATGGTTCACTATTTTTCACCCACCTCTTGCACCTCTTAAAAAGTGTACCTCAGATTTGAAGAACATTGCATTAGTCTCTTCATTAAGAGGTTGTATAATAATTCGTTCTTTTCACGAGATGTTGTCGGTTGCGGACGGCAAGATCGTCATGAACAGACAAGCAATGTTATGACCGTCTTATGATTGTGAAATAATCTTATCAACTTTTTGTGAGGTCATGATGACGAAGGTCGCTTAGTGCACCCATGTGAGCTTAAAGAATATTTCAACCCTTGGACAGGTGATTTATAGAATAATTTACTATCTCGGAGATGAGATATGGGAATTTTAATCCGTAGGGAGGTATAATCAAGTTAGCAAACGCGCGGGCGAGACAAGGAAATCTTGTATCGGTTAAAAGCGTAGATTTACTTGTCCAGTGTAAGAGTCATTTCTCTTTCTATGGAGAGTATTACTTTCAGCTTAACTTTATAAAATTATAACAGTAATATTTGTCTTTAAGGGCCACTACTTAAGCATAGATAATTGACCTAAATGGACCCCAAACTAGCGGTCTTCAGAGGCAGGTATTTGTTTGAGATGGTCTGTCTGGGCAGGTTTACTTCAGCACCTAAAAATTCTTAACGGGATCAGAATTTGTGTCGGAACCGATGTTCTGAACCCACGCTCTATACCCGAGGGTAGAATATCTATTATCCGACATGGGCGTTCCACATTGAACACGAGTATCCCACACAGACAGAGGAGTGAAGAATATCTGCCCAGGTAAGATAATCATGATACAGGATTTCCGGTTAGAAGGGGTGCACAATTCTTTTAAAAGTGAGTTATTATCATTCCTTGGAGATGTTTGCGTTGTCAGTGCTAAAGCATTGAAAAAGTGACGACTTAAATCAGCGCCAAACAAGCGGGATATTTACAGATCAGGTGGTTGTTATAGATAGGTTTTAAAGACAGGTTTTATTGTATCAAAACATTAACATTAACATTAAGAACAAGCGGGGAAGAGTTAAGAACTTTTCATTGAGTTACTTCCCTTCAATCGGACAGCGGGAACAAGGCTATGATACATCTCTGGCTTTTCTCGTGCGGTAAATTCCACGTGTTAAAACAGTACTTTGAGTCCAATGTAACCTCACATAAAATTGAATATAAATTCCAATTCAAGAGCATTTCGTTCATATGCCTATTTAAAACATAAAAAGAAAATGATATCGGCTTCCCGCTCTGAAAGGATAGGTATAAAACAGTCGATTTCGCTGAAGATCTGAATCATTGGAGTGATTTCCTTGCGTGTTATGTTCGGAATCTATTTCTTTCTCTAGATTTGAAGTAAAGAGAACTTGATTTTGTGATAGAGGCTGCCGACGAGAATGCCTTTGAGAAATAAGTTAAGATCTAATATTATTTGATGAACTGTTTCTCAGTCGAAAAAAAGGAGTAGGGGGGAGGGGGGGAGGGGGAGGGGGAGGGGGGGAGAGAATAATATGTTCGATAATCTAACTTTCACGATTAGAAAATCTATTGTCTGATCATGACATATAGTATTTGTGTCACAGATATTTACCTTGATATTTCAAGAGCAGATGCTACCCGAAAGGACCCGGGAATTTCGGTTAGATGAAGTTCTTTGATGGAAATCCACTGTCCGAGGGAAAAACACCTTCTGTTTTCTATGTATGGTTCCTCGAACTTTTTTGCAATATTTTTTTCGCCTTTTTTAAGTGCTGATATCCAAACTGTAGAAAGCACGCACGTGATCCACAAGGTCCGTTGTATGCACTCATTTCACCTGACTAACCGACACGCAGAGGACGCACGTACGTTTTGACTCTTGACACGTGAACTTTTTTCTGACGTAATTGCGCATGGATAAAACACAACTGTTGGGAATATTGTCACAAGGACGTAGAAAAGGAAAGCAACATTTTATAGTGAAACTAACTACAGACTTTTTTTTAGATGAGACGATATAAATAGGCGAGACTTGTCACTTGTTCAATATTTAAATACATTGCAACTTTTTAATAGACAACTCATTATAAACAAAACCCAATCAGGTTTCCAAACCGGGTCAATGTATAATACATTATATGAAAATATTGAGAAATGTCTAATTGTCTAGTAGTTTTGTGATATTTCCAAAATCTCGGTAAACTCTTTTTTAAGGAATTAATTATCTAAAGAACGTAATTAAGAATAATTAGTGCATCCTAGACTCAATCAATATATACACAAAATATATATAATGTACATGTAAACTAAAAATAAGTTGGTAAATCTGTACCCAATCCCATAGTATAAATTTGACACAAATGAAATATCTTCTTCAAAGAGCGTTGCCTGCCGAGCGAGGAATATAAGGGAGGTAATCATATTGCGCTACACAGTAAGTGGTGACGTCATCATAATATAAATAACGACGCAGCAAAATGTGCACATGGTCATTTAACCAAGTTGGACGTGCCTGTGTTCGAGAACAAAATCACTCGCGATTTCCTGGTAAATAAGAACTAACGATGGAGGGAATCGAGGAAAACATTTTGGATAAGCTGTCAATGCCACATTTGTTGCAAATACGTTTCCCATTGAAGCTTTGGCAACTCCTGAATAGTTGTGATAGTGGAGCGATTTCATGGAGCATCGACGGAAACTCTTTCATCATAAATAGGAGAATATTTCAGACAGAGTTTTTAAGTAGAAAACGGAATACATTCAAGACTCAAAACATAAACAGTCTGGTACGTCAGTTAAATTTGTATGGTTTTCAAAAAGTTCAAAGACGTCCGTTTGCGGGAATATCTCGGAAACACTGGCCTGACCTACTGGAGTACCGTCATAACTTCTTCCGGAAAGGTCATCCTGAACTTCTGAACAACGTCCAGCGGCGATCAAAGGACGACGATGAAGACCAAATTGCCAGCAGCAACCTTTCCCGATATCAGACCCAAGAATCCCTGTCTAACGTAAGTTTATAAATAACAAAATTGTTATATTGATATCATATGTCGTTTTATAATATAGACAATATATTAGGGTCGATTTTATTTTGGTAAGTATCGGTAATAAAATACTACCGTAGAAAAAAAAAAGTATTCTAGAATAAAAATTTCCACTGAAATTTTCCAAGAATTATTACCTTTAATTTTACATGAATAAAATTTTTAGTGCTAAGTATTAGTTTGTACATTACAAGTCACAGAAATGACTCGACTTTAATTTTTTTTTTCGCACGGATTAATAGTTGTACGTAACAGCTAAATTTGAGAAGAAAAAAAGCATACTACAAGCAAGCTATACTTGTATACCTACTGAAAGATTACCGAATTGAGTCGAACGTTAAAATACAGAATAGTAGATTTATAATCAACTCAGTTTCATTTTCAGGATCGATATATACTATTTTATCAGTTACCCATCAATGAGGGTAGGAAAAATACATATGATTTTTGTTCATTCAGAAAATCGCAATCCATAACTTATTATCTTGGCGGGTGTATTATAAAGATATCATCCTGTAAATTTGTTAAAGAGTGTGTTATTTCAGGACTGAAATACTATTGATAGACCAAGTAATGGACGATAATGGTTATCTGTTTTATTTACTCTCATTCTGTACATTTTTGACATTAAAATAGTATCTCCTGGTCCCGAAAGGGGGTTACTCTACAGTAACTTTTAAAACGTGAATCTTGTTGGACACAGGAGAGTCTTCTTCTTCTTAAAAAAAAACAACAACAAATAAACAAAATCCTGTTTCTGGTTACCCTTCTGTACCTATCCTGATATTTTGCACCTTCACTAAACTTTTTAATAATATTTCCAAAGAAACACTGTTAAAGTCAAGATCTTTCTTCTACCCATTATAAACCGAATAAAAAACCCTATTATATTTACTTTTCCTACAGTACCTATACGTACTTACCCATCCACTCTATTTTTTTCAAGCATATGTCAAAAATCACATTAATTTTTGTATCTGGCCTAAGGTGCCACAAAATTTCTAGTCGTTCCGTTCCTCGCCCTTTTGTACGAGTGTAGCAAATAAAAGAAATACTTGCTTGGTTTTCAGACAAAATGTTCACAGAACCAGGATGAAATTTATGTTTCCGCTTCAAAAGAAGAAGAGCAATTTGGCACACAGGCGACCGCCTTCTGTACACAAGGTAATACACAGTGCCAGCCAATGAAGCTTCCATTGAAACGTGTGAAAAAGTTGTATCCAAGAAATATATTGCAGACCTTACCATTACAGAGCCAAACGGGCGTTTTCCAGTTCCCTATAACTGTGCCGAATGATTCTTCCCAGTCCTTTCCTATACCATTGAAGATATGTTCTACACAGAAAGTTGCTTTGAGTCAAAACTTAGACGTCGCAAAACAGGACACAAATTTTCAAGTCATGACAAATGTGGACGGGAAGCTGTATGTTCAAGGAAACCTTGTACAGCCCGTGGCATCTCCATTAACAATACAAGTTTTGGCAAATGGCTCTCAGACCCTTCAGACAGCTCCATTACAGGTAAATGGCGTTCAGCATCTCCAAATTGCTGCCTTTCGGAAAACTGGCGTTCAATACCCCCAAACAGCTTCTTTAACAGAACCTGGCGTTCAGAACTTCCAGACAGATCCTTTACAGGATCCTGGTGTTCAGACCTTCCATTTAACTGCCTTACAGTATCCTGGTGTTCAAACCATCCAAACGGCTTCCTTACAGGATCCTGGTGTTCAGACCATCCAAACGGCTTCCTTACAGGATCCTGGTGTTCAGACCATCCAAACGGCTTCCTTACAGGATCCTGGTGTTCAGACAATCCAAACGGCTTCCTCACAGGATCCTGGTGTTCAAACCATCCAAACGACTTCCTTACAGGATCCTGGTGTTCAAACCATCCAAACGGCTTCCTTACAGGATCCAGGTGTTCAAACCATCCAAACGGCTTCCTTACAGGATCCTGGTGTTCAGACCATCCAAACAACTCCCTTACAGGAACCTAGTGTTGAGATCATCCAAACAGCTCCCTTACAGGAAACTGGCGTTCAGACCATCCAAACAGCTCCCTTACAGGAACTTGGCATTCAAACCATCCAAACATCTCCCTCAAAGGAACCTGCCTTTCAGTCCATCCAAACGGCTCCGTTACAGGAACCTGGTGTTCTGAATCTTCAGGGAGAGACCATTCAGACTCTACAATGGGAACGTATTTCTGGCCAGAACTTGTACATCCTTAAGTCGGACAACTCACATGACATTCAGAATATGAAGTTAGATTACTTAAAAGGACATAACATTCAGAATTTCCAGGAGGAAAGCTCCCAGGGAAATGATGTTCCGACTGTCCAAACAGAAAATCAGAATTTCCAGACGGCCAACGTTAATAGACAAGACGTTCTTCTGATGGAGCACTTCCAGCATGAGAATAGCACCATATGCTATCCGGAGTCGGACATATCCCCCGAGGTCAGGACGGGAGATGAAACTGTCATCATTCCAGTGTCTGATTAATAGACGAAGATTCCGTGGTGTCTGATTCATAGACGGAGATTCCATAGTGTCTTAATTCATAGTAGGAGATTCCGTAATGTCTGATTCATAGACGGTGATCTGTAGTGTCTGATTCACATACAGAGATTCCGTAATGTTTGATTCATAGACAGATATTCCGTGGTGTATTATTCATAGACCGAGATTCCGTAGTGTCTGATTCATGGACGTTAATACCGTAGTGTCTGATTCATAGACGGAGAACAGAAAATATTCTTGAAGCACCATCATCCTAATCCAATATCGCAATGATTAGATCCATTCCATGCCACCAGCTTTACAACCATTAAATGATGTGAGCTTCACAACCATCCATCACCATCAGGTCCACAGCCATCCCATAACATCAGATTCACAACTATTCCGCACCGATAGGTTCACAGTCATCCCATAATATCAGATCCACAAACATTCCGCACCGATAGGTTCCCAGCAATTCCACACCGACAGGTTCACAACTATTTCGCACCGTCAGGTCCACAGCCATCCCATAACATCAGATTCACAACTATTCCGCACCGATAGGTTCACATTTATTCTGCACCGCCAGGTTCACAGCCATCCCATAACATCAGATTCACAAACATTCCGCACCGATAGGTTCCCAGCAATACGACACCATCAGGTTCACAACTATTCCGCACCGATAGGTTCACAACTTTTCCCGCACCGTCAGGTTCACAGTCATCCCATAATATCAGATTCACAAACATTCCGCACCGATAGGTTTCAAGCAATTCCATACCGACAGGTTCGCAACTATTCCAGACCGTCAGGTCCACAGCCATCCCATAACAACAGATTCACAACTATTCCGCACAGCCATCTTGTGCTTCCAGCTTCAAGGCTTTCACAGCGCCGCTAGGTTCACAACCATCCCAAACCGCTAGGGTTTCAACCCTCCTGCACTGTTAGGTTCACAACCATCCAAACCGCTGGGTTCACAGTCACCCTGAACTGTTAGGTTCACAACCATCCAAACCGCTGGGTTCACAGTCACCCTGAACTGTTAGGTTCACAACCATCCCAAACCGCTAGGTTTACAGTCACCCTGCACTGTTAGGTTCACAACCATCCCAAACCGCTAGGTTCACAGTCACCCTGCACTGTTAGGTTCACAACCGTCCAAAAACCGCTAGGATTACAGTCAATGTATTGTCTGGTTCACAGCCATCAAGAACCGGTAGGTTAACAGTCATCCTCCACTGTCAGGTTCACAACCGTCCCAAACCGCTGAGTTTACATTCATCCTCCACTGTCAGGTTCACGGTCATGCAAAACCGCTGGATTTATAGTCATCCTGCACTGTCAGGTTCACACCCATTCCAAACGGCTGGAGTTACACTCATCCTGCACTGTCATGTTCACAACCACCATAACATCGCAGCCAAGTTTACCACAATATTGCACTGCTAGTTCATAGCCGTGACGCTACTTCCCTGTGAGTAGCAATCCTTCACTCTCAAGTTCCTACTGCTAGATCTACAGACCTTCCCACACTGTCATGTTTAGTTATTCCGGTATACCCAGTAAGGGAACTGTCTGGTAAACAAATATCCCACACTGTCAAAGTCGCATAGGCATCCCGCATTAACAACCTTCCCACACTGTCAGGTTTAGTTATTCCGGTATACCCAGTGAGGGAACTGTCTGGTAAACAAATATTCCACACTGTCAAAGTCACCCAGTCATCCCGCATTAACAACCTTCCCACACTGTCAGGTTTAGCCATCTGGTACGCAAAGTGAAAGAACTGTCAGGTTAACAAATATCCCACACTGTCAAATTCGCACAGTCATCCCGCATCAGGCACCATCCGTGATACATAGATTGTTATTCCGTAACTATCGTTTTAGTTCTAGAACGTATTTTTAACACACTGTTGAGTTATAGATCTTATTTTTGTTTCTGTGCCAAGAACTGCAGACAACAGTACATGACCTCCCCTTGTTAATAAATATGATTAATGGTGAAGGATTTGTCAGTTTTGTATTACGACAAACAAGCGTCTTGACCAGAGTATTTTTTATTCGACCTTCTAAATCTTAAAAAGGCAAATAAAATTCGCAAATACTAATGCACGCTCCTTATGAATATTCATGAGTCCTAGTGACTTATCATCATAAAGAAGAACACATTCCCAGCCACTGCCGGGCAAAACAGTTGTAAACTGATAAGAAATGGATTAAATTGTTAGTATCGATTATGAAATAGACTTGATGTCTACGATCAGGTCACGACCATAGCTTTTCACAGGTATTACAAAAATATAAGTTGGGTTTCTAAAAATATCTTCGTAGTTATCAATAATATGCATGATTCGAGCAGTTATTACCGTTTTTGAAACACATCTACTTAATGTTCTTTATCATGAATTTCACAAACGTAACATAAAAGAACGACCGAACGGTTAGCATGCCAGGAAGCATGTTATCGAGTGGTATTATTACAGAGTGATTGACCGATAGAAGGAGAATAAAGCCTCAATACACCGTAGCATGTCAGTTTTTAATAGAGATGAAGGGGACGTAGATTCACAACATGAGTAGCTGAGGGTAATTTTGAGATGGAATATCTTTGTAATGGCTGGTGTATATTTTTCACTGAACAACATGTGGGAGGCCCGTCGCATGTCGTTCCGAGTAGTCCGGATACAATGTCTTTCCAATGGACACAAAGAGTTCGCATAGAGTGCTTATTAGCTTCCTGAGGAAGATTTAAGTGTAAATAAATTTATTTTATTTTCGGTATGATAAATTGTTCATCTCATGATTTTTCTTGTCAAAGCGTTAACTTTACCCATGTATTTTTTTCTTCCTCTTCTTTCTAACGGCAATATTTTGGCCTTGCATTACACATCTCTTGCAGTTTTCAACGATAAACCAAAATCAATAAAAATGAAAGTCGGTGTTACGAATGAGATGGAGCGAACATGTGGTAAATATAAAAGAATCATTGTTCAATAAATAGTCGAAATTTAATTACAACATCTGGGTTTTACAACAAATAGAAAATGGTTTACATCGGTCCGTCTGTGAAAAAGGAGAAATGATCGGCAATAGGTAGCAAAAACATGATATACCTCGCAAAGTTAGATAACAAAGTTCTTTCGAGAGCAGATCAGAACTTCCTCCACCCACTGCAAAGTGAAGAAGGCAAGAAGATGATTTCCAGTGTCCTGATTATCCCTCAATGATGATGTCAGCACATTGGTAGAAAACAGCGGGCGCATCTTTGTTGTTTGTGACGTAAGCCGTCTGCAGGACGTAAAGTTGTCTGGAGACGAGTCCTGTTGGAATGGTAACGTTGACAGAATATAGGGTCAATGATGGCTCGCCAGCATCCGGAATACTGACCAGATTGGTCATCTGTGTTCCCTGTCTCTCCTGACCGATAGCCACATGGAAAGCCCCGGGGGTGGCCTTGTCATAGTGATCCAGATTCTTCTGGAATGTCACGGTAAAATTGCTACCCATTTTCAATCCCATGATAGGCTTTTCCGCTGGCCGTCCGCCACATCGCGCAGTGGTCAGTATACAGTCTGTGGCTCCAGCCTTGTTAATACCAACCATAGAACCCCTCTGGGGAGGACTCAGCATACACAAATGGGCATTGCAGACTTCCAGCACTATGGCAATGATGACAACGGCCAGGCACTTCATGCTTTCAATAATGTGCCTTTTCGAGCTGAAGGATGACGGTTTTGATTGTACACTGGTTCGTATTGAAACAAGCCAAACGAAAAGCTGGTTCGCTGGAAGTGACCTTCACAGATATTAATCGTTGAGACACCTTACATAAGAAGCCTTATCGCAACAAGGTCAGTCGTTCGCAACGCTCAGACAAGTCGTACGTTCTATTTCTGTCGTATGTCAGTAAAGGGTAAACCACAGAAATGTTCCGATCGTTTTCAGACAGTTTAAGACAGTTCAGAGAGCAGTGTGGAATAAGGTTATCGGCTAATGCATGTATTTGACCCTTTCAAGGGATGATAAAACATCCCTCTGTTTGAAGCAAAGTACATACACAATACACATTCTGTAGATTACTTAAATTCAGCGAATACTTGATTTCGCGAACTTCCCTCGTCAGACATATATTTGTGAATACATTTATTCGCGTACGCTTATCTAGAAATGACTTAAAATTTGCGAAAGGTGAGTTATTTAAGACATGGACTTTTCAAGCCTCTGATATCGGTTACCAAATCAACATGGAGTTATTTTAGAACAAATGATAGCGAGGGGTTTGAATTCGCAATTGACTCTTCTCGCGTAAATATAAGTGATTTACAGTATACAAAGCTTATCTAAAGCTGATATAATTATGGTATCTGTAATCACAGCATTCAGTGTCTGGAAATGATGTTTGAAAATTTACGGAGCTTTGTTTTTTTCAATTTTATATTGATTTATTTTCATGAATATAGGATATCTACTTCTTGTCTGTTGTCAGGAGGTAAAGCATTTGATAAGATAGAAAACCTCTCTGAAATCACATCAAGACGAGATACATCTATGACTTTCTGACCCCGTTTTTCCTAAAGTGACACCTGGTTTTGTGATAATACTTCTGTACCGTAACCTGATGAACATGACATTGCCGATAGTGGTTATATTTAGGATTAAAGATGGCTGATAATATAGTCAGACTTCATGTGTCGGTTCTCTTTGACACGTACGTTTTGGATTCTTGTTAGTGTTAAATATGCTTTTATTAGGAATAAGACAGCTGACGGGTGGTCATTCCCAAAGTTACTGTTTTAACTTTTGTAATCAGAATGCTTCGAAGAGTACTTCTCAAATTCCATATACCTCAGTCCATCATTTCAGGAAAAAGTCCAAAACTAAGATGGCTGACAAATAGCCATGTTTAATTTGCGATTCGCAATGTGTCGGTCTCATCTTCCACGTGTAGACTCCCAATAATGTCTTGAACTTGAACGATAGAGTCGACAATGACGTCACTTTAAAAGAATGACATAATCTACGGCAATTTGATTAGTATATCTATATATATATATATTCATATATATTTGCATTTATTTCCGGTTGTAATTTATTAACTGATAGAAAGTTACAACGAAGGATTAAAATGAAATGCGGAGCGAAGAAACAGGAAAGAAAAATATCACACTGATGTAAAAATTTCTGACTTTTGTCATGTACTTATGTAAACATCACATATACCAGCCTCGTCTGACACTAATAGTGTATAAGTGTATTGACAGACGAGGCCAGTGTCTGTGTATATATTGTATTTTGGTGTCTGGGCTCCATCATATTATCGTCGTCATTTGTTCGATTACGTCACCTGTATCTACCTCCTCACTGTACCGGGACACATCAGCTGCTGTATCTTTGACGAGGACAGTGGCCTCAGTTTATTGGCAGTACAAAACACAAACATCTGTTAGAGAAGGCAATAGTTAATTTTTTTCCCCATTTAGATTACTTTGTGGAAAAACGAAGGGCGTGAGGTACCCCGAAGGATATATGCAAAGTTCTTGTCAACAGATGAGAGGTACCCTGACGGGGTCCGGTAACAGTCCCAATCAGTAGATGTGGGGAACTTAGATGTGTACAGTTCAAGTCCCTGTCAGTTGATGCGGGGTACCGAGATGGGTGCATATAAAGTCCCTGTCAGTAGATGTGGGGTACCTAGACGGGGTACGGTAACATTCCCAGTCAGTAGATATGTAGATATAGTCCCTGTCAATACATGTTGCGTATACCGACGGGTGCAGTGTCTTGTTTTGTAGATAGATGTTGCGTACCATGACGTGTACAGTGCTGTTGTCGCTGGTAATAAGTGGATGGGAAGGGGTGCAGTAAAGGTCCTTGTCAGTAGATCTGTGAGTACCCAGGAGGTACAGTAACGGTCCTTGTCAGTAGATCTGTCTGTACCCAGGGGGTACAGTAACGGTCCTTGTCAGTAGATCTGTGGGTACCCAGGGGGTACAGTAATGGTCCTTGTCAGTAGATCTGCGGATACCAAGGGGGTGTAGTAACGGTCCTTGTCAGTAGATCTGTGGTTACCCAGGGGGTACAGGTGCGGTCCTTGTCAGTAGATGTAGGGTACCCAGGGGGTGCAGTAACGGACCTTGTCAGTAGATCTGCGGGTATCCAAGGGGTGTAGTAACGGTCCTTTTCAGTAGATATGTGGGTACCCCGGGGGTACAGTAACGGTCCTTGTCAGTAGATCTGCGGGTACCCAGGGGGTGCATTAACAGTCAATGATAGTAGATGTAGATGCCTCAGGGGTATAATTATTAACAGTCAAGTTAATTGATGCGGGTTGCAGTGAGGGACACACTAACAGTCATATCAGTAGATGTGGGGTACCCTTAGGGGTACACTAACAGTCATGTCAGTATATATGGAGTACCCTTAGGGGTATAATAACAGTCATGTCAGTATATGTAGGGTACCCTTAGGGGTACACTAACAGTCATGTCAGTATATGTGAGGTACCCTTAGGGGTAGACTAACAGTCATGTCAGTATATGCGCAGTGCAGTGAGGGGTACAGTAATAATCCCTGTCAGTAGATGTGAGGTACCCTAAAGGGTACTTTAAAAGTCCCTGCCAGCAGATGTGGGGAGCCCTGATTGGTACATAAACAGTCCCTGCAAGTAGATATGGGATACTCTGAGGGGTACACATACCATCTCTAACAGTAGAGGTACCCTGTTGTAAACGGTAATATGCTTTTCTTGTTAAAAAAGATCATGATTTCCCTAATCACACGAAGTATTCCAAGATTCAATCATATATGATCATCCGTTTACTGTTATATTTGTAGTGTTGCTTTCCCTATCCATTGTCTTTATTTAAAATATCTCTTTTAATCATTTCTTCCGGCAAAAGTATACTGCGCCTGAAATAATACAAAAATACGTACTTACATTTCTAATCGTTTTTAATTGATCAAAATCACAATTTTCGTACAAAACAGAAATCCAGCCTTTGCCAAACACATTTAAAGAGATAAATTCACCAGCGTCAATTTGTAAGTTCAGAACTAAAGTCACACCAATGTCATTTACAGTTTCTTTATTCGTTGATCATAATATCAGCACACTGGAAGAACTCGGGTGGTGCCTGTGGGTTGTTGGTTAGGTAGGCAGAATGCATGATATATTCTGTTTTCGGAGAAAGTGACATAGGAATGGTGACATTGACAGAATATACTGTTAGGGAGGGTTCCCCGGCATCAGGGATGGTGGCCAGCACATTCAGTCTGGTGCCTCCTCTCTCAGAACCTATTGAAACGGTGAAGCTTCCTGGAGTTGCCTTCACATAATGGTCAAGGTTTTTCTGGAATGACACGGTGAAGTTTTGTCCCCTTCGGAGTCCCATAACTGGCTTGCCCCGCATTCGGCCTCCACACCTTGGAGTGGTCAAAACGCAGTCACTGGAAGCCGGTTTGTTAAGATTGGCCATTGAACCTCGTTGTGGGGGACTAATCATGCACAAGTGGGCACAACATACTTCTAGCACAACGGCAACTACGACGGCGGCAAGAAGATTCATCTTGGAAAGAAAATTGCGGATCTGGCAGACGACAGACGGTGACACTAACTGGTCAGTATCAAGGTACTGAAATGATAAGACAATGGTACAAGCAATATCTATTGCGCATATGTCAATCAGACACTGCTTGACCAATCAAAATGCAGAAAGATATCTCCAAACTGTCATGATAATAATCAGCCTTAACAAAGTATTCGCTCGAGCCGCAGGTTCTTCATCGGAAATCAGATTCGAAATCTTGTCATTCGTGTAAAAAGCTTACATGCTGGAATTATCAGTTTATCGGTCAAAACTTCATTCCATTTTCCTCTGATAAGTGTTGGAAAGTGTTGATAAGGATGAGGAAATGGCCATTAATATTAGCTCGTTATACAATGTATGCCACTGTTCTCTGTAACGGTCCTTCCAACATCAGCTTTTTTATATTGTAAGTCAAACTCACTCAGCATTCAATCCAAATGACCTATGATGCCACATTCCATTTAGGCAATAATAGTTTTTTCTTTCTATTATTACTGTTTCTATTAACCTAATAAGGTAGAAACAATTAGTTTTCAATAATTTTAGCCAATAAGAAATTTGTCTAGACTCGTGAAGGTGACGAGGAAAAAAATATACCTGCTGTCTCCCATTGTGCCTGTGTTGGGTGGGGGAGGGCGAGGGGGGGGACTTGTAGATCGGGGTGGAGTTTTCCAATGTCTTCTATCTGAGGGACATCTAGACGTCAAAAAAGGGTTTACCACATTCAACTGCATGTTCGTAAAAGATGGACACTTTCCTTCCTGAACCTGGTATTCCTTTCTGTGTCTTGTTCAACACCAATCTTGTTCACCATAAATCTTGTTCACCACCAATCTTGTTCACCACCAATCTTGACACCCGTCTTCACATGTAATAATCCTGCCTTCTAAGAGGACGTTAAACCCCGCACAAAATAAAACTAGTACATTAAGTTCCATAAGGCAACATATGCAAAACGTGTTCAGTAAGTTGCAGGTGTAAATATCTCGTTGCCAAGTCTTGTTTCAACACATATTGTTATGAATTTTATATTATAATTACTTATAACATGGAGGTTAACCTTTTAGTACTAAGTACTAAGAAATTATTACAGCAAGCGACGCGTATTTGTTATAAACTTAATGTATTAATTATTACACTAATTAATGATTGAGTAATTTATTACAAAAAGTGTTACAAAGAAGTCTTTAAATGACCCCGTGACTTTCAAACCTCGATCAGGGCCCAGTAGTAAAACAGATTACTATAAATTACATAATGATGCAAACTTTGATGCGCTGTACACTGACGTTTAAAAAATACACTCTTGTCAAAAATAATTTCAAAAAGAAATGAAATGTTTTAAACAACGTCCAAAATTGATAATCATTTGAAAGTTAACGAAAGCCAGACATGACGGTGAATAGATACATCTGTTCAAATTGAACGGCTAAGGCATTGTTACATATGCAATTTTGACAAATACTATTTGTCCAATTCGTTTTGTTTACATCTTTGGCTTCACTCAATCCATTTTTGTGAGAGAGACTTTTCCATGCAATTACATGTATGAGATAAATCTTTGTTTTCATCATTTTTTTTTATCTTCGTCTGAAAAAAAGATGACCATTACATCTGTGTAAACATATCAAAACAAATCTTTGGTGCTTCTGCCGTGATGAATACATTTCACTTTCTTCTAGTGCATCTGTTTTAAATATAGATACGAATGTGAAAAACCGAAACCGATTTAGGCGTTTAAAATAAACAGTCTTTCAGACTGTCAAACATTAAGAAAAAATGGTAAAGGTGAAATATATTGTTTGTCAACAAGTTCTTGATTGTAGACTAAATCAAACTGGGATAAAAAGGAAAGCTGATGCATTCCAAACCTGCTATTGTGTAAAAAGTGATCAGAATAGACCCATTTATTCCATAAGTGAAATAAAAATTGATAATAAAAAAGTTTTGTGTGGTAAATCTTATCGTAATTTGGAGTAAATACTGTTATTTTTTTATTTGTTTTATTAACTAAAGAATACTTTGGGCGAGTCTACAAGCTCGTCACGGTGAGAGAATAAACGTTGGCAGTCAAACACCTTTCTGTTTTCAGCGTAGCCATCTGACTCTACTTAAACACTCGATTTAGAATATTCGTGATATGATAAAGAACCTCATACATCCGCTTCATATCTATTCTCTTGATATTTTTTTATTATTATTTATAAAGGTTGTTTATTCACCGTTGGCATTAAGACGGAACATTATGTTTAATTTTCTTTATTTTCCAATCGAATACTATATTAAGATAATATGGGCGTGTGCTGTTTATACATGTTTACGTGTGCATCGATACTGTTAATCTAATACATCAATAATATCACATTAAACTGTGGTAAGATAAAAGATACCACGAGATGATTATTTAAGTTTAAAATATAGTGTAATTTGTCTATTTTGTTAGTGTCGTCTGTAACATTTCCAGCATCACAATATTATAGTTATATTTACATTGCCCGCCGCCGTCCTATTACAAAAGTACTTGACGGCAAATGTAATAATTATACTATAATAGAAACCGGCTCCGCTGTATTGTGACGTCACAGTACTCTTCTGTCAGACATTCCATGCTTCGGCTGTTCCTATCAATGGATTTACTCCATGGTGTAAGAGAGATTTTTGTTTTTCAATATATTTAGATAATTAATTCATAATGCCCATAATGTTGGAAGGAAATGTAATAAAACTATCTCTTAATATAACTGTAGTCGATACATTTGAAAGATGCACTTCTGGAAAATCTGCATTCCAACTCTGGAATTTCATGAAACACGGTCACCTTCACCAGACAAATGACCAGTGTGAAGCATACTAGCACTGGTGTAAGCAGTGTATGAAAATGATCGACAGGGAAAACAACCATTTCAGGCGGTTGGTTAAGGCAGCCATCTGGATTCGCCACAGCGGGCCAGTACTTAATAGGGACGAGGGGGTCCACAGACTCTCGCACATTTATGACCCAGTGTTAAAAAGTGAAGCCGAATTAACTACAATACATTGTTACTATCTGATTATTTTTTGTCTATAATCCGTTTACCATCTCGTTACACTATTGTCGACCTTAGTGTACATAGGATTATAGCGCAGCCGAAAAAGTTGGTCGATTCTGTACACTAAGTGCGTCAGTGCTAGTACGCTCCACTCATTCGACTAGTGAGAAATGGTAAAGAACAGAAGATATAGGTCATATGACTTACTATGACTTTAGGTCATGTAAATACAATATTTATGTTAATGTTACTACAAAAATGTAAAGCATTGTATTACTTGTAGGTCATAGAACAAGATACGCCGAGTAATAAGATATATATAGAACTTGTAACTAAAGATAAAGGTGATGAAGGTGTTAAATCAGACAGGTCAGGGAACTACAGATATATAGGTCATGTAACTAGAGATAAAGGTTATGGAGGTGTTAAATCAGACAGGTCAGGGAACTACAGATATATAGGTTAAGTAACTAGAGATAAAGGTGATGGAGGTGTTAAACCAGACAGGTCAGGGAACTACAGATATATAGGTCATGTTACTAGAGATAAAGGTGATGTAAGTGTTAAATCGGACAGGTCAGGGAACTACAGATATATAGGTCAAGTAACTAGAGATAAAGGTGATGGAGGTGTTAAACCAGACAGGTCAGGGAACTACAGATATATAGGTCATGTTACTAGAGATAAAGGTGATGTAAGTGTTAAATCGGACAGGTCAGGGAACTACAGATATATAGGTCATGTAACTAGAGATAAAGGTGATGGAGGTGTTAAATCAGACAGAACTGGGAACTACAGATATATAGGTCATGTAACTAGAAATAAAGGTGATGGGGGTGTTAAATCAGACAGGTCAGGTAACTATAGATATATAGGTCATGTACCTAGAGATAAAGGTAATGGAGGTGTTAAATCAGACAGGTCAGGGAATTACTGCTCTATAGGTCATGTAACTAGAGATAAAGGTGATGGAGGTGTTAAATCAGACAGGTCAGGGATTTACAGATATATAGGTCATGTACCTAGAGATAAAGGTGATGTAAGTGTTAAATCAGACAGGACAGGGAACTACAGATATATAGGTCATGTAACTAGAGATAAAGGTGATGGAGGTGTTAAATCAGACAGAACTGGGAACTACAGATATATAGGTCATGTAACTAGAAATAAAGGTGATGGAGGTGTTAAATCAGACAGGTCAGGTAACTACAGATATATAGGTCATGTACCTAGAGATAAAGGTAATGGAGGTGTTAAATCAGACAGGTCAGGGAATTACTGCTCTATAGGTTATGTAACTAGAGATAAAGGTGATGGAGGTGTTAAATCAGACAGGTCAGGGATTTACAGATATATAGGTCATGTACCTAGAGATAAAGGTGATGTAAGTGTTAAATCAGACAGGTCCAGGAACTACAGATATATAGGTCATTTAACTAGAGATAAAGGTGACGGAGGTGTTAAATCAGACAGGGCAGGGAACTACAGATATATAGGTCATATACCTAGAAAAAAAGGTGATGGAGGTGTTAAGTCAGACAGGTCAGGGAATTACAGATATATAGGTCATGTAACTAGAGATAAAGGTGATGGAGGTGTTAAATCAGACAGGTCAGGGAACTACAGATATATAGGTCATGTAACTAGAGATAAAGGTGATGGAGGTGTTAAATCAGACAGGTCAGGGAACTACAGATATATAGGTCATGTAACTAGAGATAAAGGTGATGGAGGTGTTAAATCAGACAGGTCAGGGAACTACAGATATATAGGTCATACAGACATGTAACTAGAGATAAAGGTGATGGAGGTGTTAAATCAGACAGGTCAGGGAACTACCGATATATAGGTCATGTAACTAGAGATAAAGGTGATGGAGGTGTTAAATCAGACAGGTCAGGGACCTACCGATATATAGGTCATGTAACTAGAGATAAAGGTGATGGAGTTGTTAAATCAGACAGGTCAGGGATTTACAGATATATAGGTCATGTACCTAGAGATAAAGGTGATGTAAGTGTTAAATCAGACAGGTCCAGGAACTACAGATATATAGGTCATTTAACTAGAGATAAAGGTGACGGAGGTGTTAAAATAGACAGGTCTGGGAACTACAGATATATAGGTCATGTAACTAGAGATAAAGGTGATGGAGGTGTTAAACCAGACAGGTCAAGGAATTACTGCTATATAGGTCATGTAACTAGAGATAAAGGTGATGGAGGTGTTAAACCAGACAGGTCAAGGAATTACTGCTATATAGGTCATGTAACTAGAGATAAAGGTGATAGAAGTGTTGAATCAGACAGGTCAGGGAACTACAGATATATAGGTCATGTACCTAGAGATAAAGGTAATGGAGGTGTTAAACCAGACAGGTCAGGGAATTACAGATATATAGGTCAAGTAACTAGAGATAAAGGTCATGGAGGTGTTAAACCAGACAGGTCAGGATATAAGGTCATGTACAGATATATAGGTCATGTAACTAGATATAAAGGTAGAAATAAAGGTGATGGAGGTGTTAAATCAGACAGGTCAGGTAATTACAGATATATAGGTCATGTAACTAGAGATAAAGGTTATGGAGGTGTTAAATCAGACAGGTCAGGGAACTATAGATATATAGGTCATGTAACTAGAGATAAAGGTTATGGAGTTGTTAAATCAGACAGGTCAGGGAACTACAGATATATAGGTCATGTAACTAGAGATAAAGGTCATGGAAGTGTTAAACCAGACAGGTCAGCTAACTACAGATATATAGGTCAGGTAACTAGAGATAAAGGTGATAGAAGTGTTGAATCAGACAGGTCAGGGAATTACAGATATATAGGTCAAGTAACTAGAGATAAAGGTCATGGAGGTGTTAAACCAGACAGGTCAGGGAACTACAGATATATAGGTCATGTAACTAGAGATAAAGGTCATGAGGTGTAAATCAGAAAGGTCAGGGAACTACAGCTATATAGGTCATGTAACTAGAGATAAAGGTGATAGAAGTGTTAAATCAGACAGGTCAGGGAACTACAGATATATAGGTCATGTAACTAGAGATATACAATTTGTATATATAGATAGAAAATTATAGATGCAAATAAAGATCTTGTTAGATCAAACTTGTTGTATAGGTATACGGTGTAAGTATTTATCAATCGATCTTGTTCTGATAAGTCAAATGAGATCAATAGTGTATTCGGTAATCTAACAACGCTCTCGCTCTCTCAAGTCCATTAAACGAAAAAAGTACGGAAATCCAAAGTGGGATCTGGTTTAGATAATTTGATCTGTTCAGTACCATATCTAATAATTCCTAATATTACTTTAAACATTTTCACCTGTCTAAAAATCAGAATTGATGAAAAGAGAACTACAATAAAATATTACATCAGTTTTTCTATTTCAAATTTTGATTCAGATTGGTGTGTGTGTGTGTGTGTGTGTGTGTGTGTGTGTGTGTGTGTATGTTTTTCTCTCTCTTTTTTTCATATCTATCACCGTAAGAAATGTCAACATGGAAGTGACCGAGTTGTGAAAATTGTAACAGAAAGAAGTCCGATAACTCTTACAAGCACGGTCTTGAATAAATGACAAATCTTCATAAAGCTTTGAAATTGCTTGATACCTCGTATCCATATGCCAAATGAATGCCAAAGTGAAACCGCGTCATTAAACGTGACCTACCGTACGAGGTGAGAACTGCATGTCCCACACCTCTTTCCTCGTGTAGAGCACTCATGAAAATTATACTTAATCTGTTGATAAGTCTGAGTTTGTGAAAGCCGAAAAGCTCGTAAAAGTATGGCGCGTGTACCACGTCTTTGATATCTGATAGCGTGTACCACGTCTTTGATACATTGTTTGATACTTTACATTACATTGGTTCATTGTTTACATTCATTACATTGGCAGATACTTTTGATAATTACATTTACTGGTTAAAATTACTTACTATACATCACATTGTTTGATACTTTACATTACATTGGTTGATACTTTACATTACATTGTTTGATACTTTACATTACATTGTTTGATACTTTACTTTACATTGTTTGATACTTTACTTTATATTGTTTGATACTTTACTTTACATTGTTTGATACTTTACATTACATTGTTTGATACTTTACATTACATTGTTTGATACTACATTACATTGGATGATACTTTACATTATATTGGTTGATACTTTAAATTACATTGGTTGATACTTTACATTACATTGTTTGATACTTTACATTACATTGGTTCATACTTTACATTACATTGTTTGATACTTTACATTACATTGGTTCATACTTTACATTACATTACATTACATTGTTGATACTTTACATTACATTGTTTGATACTTTACATTACATTGTTTGATACTTTACATTTACTTTACATTGTTTGATACTTTTACATTACATTGTTTGATACTTTACATTACATTGTTTGATACTTTACATTACATTGTTTGATACTTTGATACTTTACATTACATTGGTTGATACTTTACATTACATTGTTTGATACTTTACATTACATTGGTTGATACTTTACATTACATTGTTTGATACTTTACATTACATTGGTTCATACTTTACATTACATTGGTTGATACTTTACATTACATTGGTTGATACTTTACATTACATTGTTTGATACTTTACATTCCATTGTTTGATACTTTACATTACATTGGTTTATACTTTACATTGCATTGTTTGATACTTTACATTCCATTGTTTGATACTTTACATTACATTGTTTGATACTTTACATTACATTGTTTGATACTTTACATTACATTGATACTTTACATTACATTGTTTGATACTTTACATTACATTACATTGTTTGATACTTTACATTACATTGTTTGATACTTTACATTACATTGTTTGATACTTTACATTACATTGTTTACATTACATTGTTCATGATCATTACTTGATACATTACATTGGTTGATACTTTACATTACATTGTTTGATACTTTACTTTACATTACATTGTTTGATACTTTACATTACATTGTTTGATACTTTACATTACATTGGTTCATACTTTACATTACATTGTTTGATACTTTACATTACATTGGTTGATACTTTACATTACATTGTTTGATACTTTACATTACATTGTTTGATACTTTACATTACATTGTTTGATACTTTACATTACATTGTTTGATACTTTACATTACATTGTTTGATACTTTACATTACATTGTTTGATACTTTACATTACATTGTTTGATACTTTACATTACATTGTTTGATACTTTACATTACATTGTTTGATACTTTACATTACATTGTTTGATACTTTACATTACATTGTTTGATACTTTACATTACATTGTTTGATACTTTACATTACATTGTTTGATACTTTACATTACATTGTTTGATACTTTACATTGTTTGATACTTTACATTCCATTGTTTGATACTTTACTTTACATTGTTTGATACTTTACATTACATTGTTTGATACTTTACATTACATTGTTTGATACTTTACATTACATTGTTTGATACTTTACATTACATTGTTTGATACTTTACATTACATTGTTTGATACTTTACATTACATTGTTTGATACTTTACATTGTTTGATACTTTACATTACATTGTTTGATACTTTACATTACATTGTTTGATACTTTACATTACATTGTTTGATACTTTACATTACATTGTTTGATACTTTACATTACATTGTTTGATACTTTACATTACATTGTTTGATACTTTACATTACATTGTTTGATACTTTACATTACATTGTTTGATACTTTACTTTATTGTTTGATACTTTACATTGTTTGATACTTTACATTACATTGGTTGATACTTTACATTACATTGGTTGATACTTTACATTACATTGTTTGATACTTTACATTACATTGGTTCATACTTTACATTCCATTGTTTGATACTTTACATTCCATTGTTTGATACTTTACATTACATTGGTAGATACTTTACATTACACTGGTTGATACTTTACATTCCATTGTTTGATACTTTACATTCCATTGTTTGATACTTTACATTACATTGTTTGATACTTTACATTGCATTGTTTGATACTTTACATTACATTGGTTCATACTTTACATCACATTGGTTGATACTTTACGTTATATTGGTTGATACTTTACATTATATTGTTTGATACTTTACATTGCATTGTTTGATACTTTACGTGACATTGGTTGATACTTTACATCACATTGGTTGATACTTTACATCACATTGGTTGTTACTTTACGTTATATTGGTTGATACTTTACATTATATTGTTTGATACTTTACATTACATTGTTTGATACTTTACATCACATTGGTTGATACTTTACATTATATTGGTTGAATCATCACAGCACCTATCATATTTTGTAAAGCGTCGCAAATTGTATACGTATATTGTACAATGTATATTTTATTAAACCTTGGCTCTACAGTTAGTAATACTGACTTTGTGTATGTGGGTGTGGTAAAATGTGTCCAGTTATAAACACATTACTCCTTTCGGTTGGCATTCATCTCATCATAAATCGACAATTAAGAAATAGCTAGCTTTGTCGTTGGAATTAAAATGAGAAATTCGCTTGAAACAGATAAATGGTAACATGTTTTAAATACACACATACACCAAATGCCTTAAACTTGTAACTGTCTACTTTCTAAAACATACATCGTCATCGTGAACATAAGTACATGTTAAAACACGTGTGTGGTTAGCGTGTACTGCCAGATCAAGTCTAGCGCGTGCTGTAACTGCCACTGAACCATTGCGCGTGCAGTCTTAGTCAATTTCATCTCGGTTCCTCTGGGTCTACATCGCCCGTACATAGATACAGTGAATATACCAATAAAATGTAACACGAGGTTGTAAAATTCTTGTGAAGTTTATTTAAGGCCGAGCAATGCTGCTGCAAGATATTGGAACATGGGTATTTTTCAGTCCTTCAGTTTGGTTTGGAAGACAAGGTTTTTTTTTTTTTTAATGCATAAGAAATAAATAAGTTACTGAAACATAAACACATTTTACATTGATTGGAATTTCAACATGCCTGTGGATCCTTAACAGACACAAAAACATACACATGCATACACTAATTACCAACACGTAAAGCACCTGCATCACACGCGCTTTTTGGACATGGGTTTCAACTTTTTTTTCTTTCAAACATGAGATCTAAAACACTTCTGGTGTATTTAATGAGATCTCTAGTTAACCTACTTCGGAAACTGACATACTGTGTCTATTTTCATAGCTTCCGCCGCCATCCTCTATATTAAACATTCACAATGAGCGTTTTTTTATCTTGTTGGCCCAGTGAAATACCCTCGTAAAGCATGTTGTAATATTTTGTTTTTATAATTTACAGACCTACGGGAGATGTAACCTTGGCAACGCGATATCATGGAATCACACCACGAGAGACCTACGTTGCTATTAGAATACGTCACACATCGCCTGAAGTACATATCGGAGGATGTTCTTATCGATTTCCAGTGTAGTTCATTTCCGGTTCAAAAGACCCAGATATTAGATTCGTTAACATGACCTCAATATTTATAAAAAAAATTAGTGTCGGTACACGTTATCTACACTCAAGTGTGAGCAATGTTGAAGCGGTGGCACTGCACAACCCAAACTTGAGCACCTGATATAAATTTGATAAAATTTTCTTACCAAATTACGAAACGAAACATCTCAATATCGAGACAACACGTATCCATTCCATCCATATCTGGTGTGGAATAACACAAGTAACTGGCATTTAATTGGTTTAGATAACTAAATGAGTTTATATATAGAATGTTTCCTGGAGGTTAGCCATAATGAGTATCCACCTCATAAGAGGTTAACAGGTTTTCACTATATATAATAGTTATTTAATATACATTTTCAATTTCGTCTATTGCAATGTATTCTTTGATCACTCTAGGAAGTATCAGTTTCGGAATATTGTCCAAAATTGATCTGTCACCGGATCCTTCATTCAATGACTTCCGGATGGTCATGCGCGCTAGTTCCTGTAACGAGAAACAGTTGTGTACCCGCTCTCGAAGCCACACAATCATTTTGACACCATTTGTTCCCGTGGCGTGACCTGAGAATGCTAGTCTCCTGAATGATCTAGAGAATGTTGGGATGCGACGTGTACACTGTTCGACCTCTTCAATGGTCAGCCGATAGCCACAGGTTACCAACAGCTTGACCACATTTGTGTCACATCTCGTGAAGGCGTCTACGAGAAGACTACGACCGTGCTGGCCCTGCTTGTCCACTCGACACCCGTGATACAATAACATACCGGCGATATAACTGTTGCCTATCGAGATACATGATAGAAGGGGAGACCACTGACCATCCGACTCACTCAGACGCCCACCATTCAGAACAAGCGTCCGGCCGATTGAATCCAAGGAACCGTACGAGTTCTTCTGTGCGATTCGATAATAAAAAATGGCTGTTGAAAATGGCGTGGCTTTGTACTGTGTCAATGCGTTTACGTCAGCACCCTTACTTATCAGTAGTCTTACAATATCCTTGTTCCCTATCCGAATGGCTTCGTGTAGTGGTGACCAGTCATTTTTGTTCTTTGAGTTGATTCCGACGTCTAGTTTACATAAAAGATGTACAACAGATTCTAAGTTGTTGTGAATGGCCCGCTGTAGTACAGCATTTCCCGCGTCATCTTTCGCGTTGACGTCACATCCCATCCCGATTAGCCAAGTCGCTATATCTGTTTTATGATGGTTGCACGCTATATGTAATGGCGTTTGACCTTTGTTGTCCGGTAGATCAGCACTCCATTTAGAGTCCAACAACAAGCGTATAATGTTTTTATATCCATATTCCGTTGCCCAATGAAGAGCAGTGCGTCCTCTACAATCAACATAGTCTATGTTTCGGTAACAGCTATTAGACAAAATGGAGCGAACTTGACTCTCTTTTCCCGCCTTTACAGCTTCCAATAGGAAATAATCCTCATCGACGTTGATTTTATTTGGCATTTTGTTTTATTATAAAATCCGAAAATCAATCCTTGACAGTTATACAACAAGACAGCTCGTAGTTACGATAGTGGTGGCAAACTGATGACGTATTTAACGAAATTGAGTCTCTTTTGTTGTTTAACAAAAGATATTTCGTTACAACTCCGATTTTATTCTTGTCGTTCACCAATTAAGAAACGGTGTTTCCTTTTTTTCACAATATCAGAAAGTTTTCTCCCTCCCTGGGAACCCTGGAGCACAATTTCAGACGAAGTGTTGGCAATGGAAAAACGAAATTCTTGTCAGTCATCCAACATGGTCGCTCAACTGAAAAGACATAGAAATGAAACTAATTTTATTATAAACACGACAAAGTTTGACAAGACAAACCTGTGTACATGAAAGAGAGTGGGTAGATAAAACAAAACTTGTAATATCTAGGGTACATACCGTGCAGTAGATTGAAGCCTGCCATGGATAACTGTTTCTCTGTTTGTATACACACGCATGCGCAGTATGGTGTTTACTTTTTGGTGCATCCCGTTCCACGTTGGAGCACAACTACAGAATGTATTTCCTGTCCTGGATCTCGCTTGTTGCCGAGCCCATTCATTAGAGTCAGGGATGTAGTTGAAACTACGCACCCCGTCAGCTGAGGACAGATTGAACTATATTCCGCTAACCCGTCCGTGTAGCTGTAACAAGAAGGCGGGAGAAATGCGATGCCATCTTTCTTTCCATTTACACCTTGCTACGTTTTAACTTTGCTGGGATCCCTAGTTTTACAAATGGGGAGGGGGCAAAATGATCAGCTGACGGGCACGCGCGCGTGAGCAAACTGGTACGGCTAGCCACACGTACGACTTACAGATGCTAGTTACAGCGAACAGCAGATAACAGAGCTACTGTCTGTGTATCTACAGAGATAAGAGGGTACTTCTATCCTACTTTACTTATAGTACTCGTATTGTCTTGTGTTGTCACGAACCTAACTACTTTTTTTCTGGAAACGAGTGTTCACAATATCACTGCTTCTATGCATATTGCATAGACATAGCGACAAAATCCCGGGAGAGATACCGCGTAATTTGTACAGTACAAGCAATACCAACATTCATGTCTTATTTCTCAAATTTCAATTTGCTTTGTCTACAGTATTGACTGTTTACGAGGCCTTAACGAGTCTATATAGTTTTATACCATTCTATCGATTTCTATAATGAAAACAATTTACGAAGGGTTAAACGTAATCATCTATTGTGATAGGTTGAATTTATGGGACAACGCAAACGGAGAAAGCAATTTCCCCACACTGAGAATGAATTCATTAGACAACGCAAAAAAGACAGCAAATTTCCCACACGGAGGTTGAATTCATTAGACAACGCAAAAAAGACAGCAATTTCCCCACACTGAGACTGAATTCATTAGACAACGCAAAAAAGACACAAAATTTCCCACACGGAGGCTGAATTCATTAGACAACGCAAAAAAGACAGCAATTTTCCCACACGGAGGTTGAATTCATTAGACAACGCAAAAAAGACAGCAATTTTCCCATACTGAGACTGAATTCATTAGACAACGCAAAAAAGACAGCAATTTTCCCACACTGAGACTGAATTCATTAGACAACGCAAAAAAGACAGCAATTTTCCCACACCTCAAAAAAGACAGCAATTTTCCCACATGGAGGTTGAATTCATTAGACAACGCAAAAAAACAGCAATTTTCCCACACGGAGGTTGAATTTATTAGACAACGCAAAAAAGACAGCAATTTCCCCACACTGAGACTGAATTCATTAGACAACGCAAAAAAGACAGCAATTTTCCCACACTGAGGTTGAATTCATTAGACAACGCAAAAAAGACAGCAATTTTCCCACACCGAGACTGAATTCATTAGACAACGCAAAAAAGCCAGCAATTTTCCCACACGGAGGTTGAATTCATTAGACAACGCAAAAAAGACAGCAATTTTCCCACCTGGAGGTGAATTCATTAGACAACGCAAAAAAGGCAGCAATTTTCCCATACTGAGACTGAATTCATTAGACAACGCAAAAAAGACAGCAATTTCCCCACACTGAGACTGAATTCATTAGACAACGCAAAAAAGACAGCGATTTTCCCACACTGAGGTTGAATTCATTAGACAACGCAAAAAAGACAGCAATTTTCCCACACTGAGGTTGAATTCATTAGACAACGCAAAAAAGACAGCAATTTTCCCACACGGAGGTTGAATTCATTAGACAACGCAAAAAAGACAGCAATTTCCCCACTTGGAGGTTGAATTCATTAGACAACGCAAAAAAGACAGCAATTTTCCCACACGGAGGTGAATTCATTAGACAACGCAAAAAAGACAGCAATTTTCCCATACTGAGACTGAATTTATTAGACAACGCAAAAAAGACAGCAATTTCCCCACACTGAGACTGAATTCATTAGACAACGCAAAAAAGACAGCGATTTTCCCACACGGAGGTGAATTCATTAGACCGCTCTAAAGAAGAAAGCATTTTTTCCATTCTGAGGTCGAATTGATGGGAAGACAGAACAGACGGTAGCAATGTTCCCCATACTGAGGTGGAATTCATGGGAAAACTCACAATAAAAACAATGATTCCCACACAGAGGTTGAATTCACAAGACATCTCAAAAGAAGAAAGCAATTTTCCCATACTGAGGTTGAATTCATGGGACAACGCTAAAAAGAAAGCAATTTTCCCACACTGAGGTTGAATTCATGGGACAACGCTAAAGAAGAAAGCTTTTTCCTATACCGAACTTGCTCCGTCAACATGACCTTGAGGGCAATTATGACCCAGTGTACTATATACAGAAAAGGTCTTATAATTCACGACTCTGTGAACAAAGGTCAAAACATTGGTGTGGCCTTTGTAACAACTGTTCTGTAAAATGGACATATTTTGTAGCACAAGATCATCAAAATGTTAACTATAAGTGACTACTGTACTTGACATTATATCGCATACACAAGTTCTTATGTGTAGCGCGTGCCCGAGGTGATACACGTTCACATGATTTACAATGAGGTCAATACAGAAAGCGATTTCTTGTGTTAGATAGTCCAACGGATGCCAGCAACTGAAAAACGCTTGTGCTGGGGTCGGCACCAGGCCTAGCGATGTTTAAGTTATCTCCGTACGAGATTTATTTGTGGTGCAAGAACCTTGTATAAAATGTCATAATTACTGCACGTGTAGAGAGATTTATATATACACAGCATACAAACGCTGGCAAACGGTTACGGACGTCATATCGTAAGTTTAAGCGGGTCTGACAAGTTGCACTGACAAAACGTAACAGTGCACTGTGAGAATATGATGATCGGCTCTTTCCGTTGAACTTCGGGTATTTACAAATTCACCGATAGTGTTGTGTTTAGAACATGTTTCTTATCATACATTAACTGGTATGAGCATATCTGAATTAATCCAAAGTGTAAAAAGTCAAAAATGTTGAAAATGAAATGCTATAAAAATATATAAGGAACATTAGGATATTTTATTTTTGAAATTCATACCGTAGTGATCTTCTAGCAATTTCAAGGATGAAACATCAGTTCATTTATCCCCGTGTGAATCTTTAAAATGATACTCTATGTGTTTACATACATTTAAATCAATAGTTATCAGTGTTTAAATGCATGCTTTGGCCCAGCTAACATCATCTAATCTCGACTTAAAGGAGGGGAAAATTAAATGACGGAGCCGTCTGTTGATTTCCATACAAATGTTACTAGAACAGACCTCATGTTATTGATGTCACTTTCACGAATGAACTAACAGTTAATAAACAATTATTCCAGGTCATGTGCATAAACTGTTTGTAAAGTATCGTCTTGTTCACACTTCTGTATAACGCCAAACGTGTTCAGATACCTTCGGACCCCTGTAATCTGTATTATCTCGCCTTGTATGAAGTTACATCGTTAAGTCGATTGCGTATTTAAAAGTCCTCCGTACTATCTCCAATCACGCGGAAAGTCTGGCCTATACACTTAGTTACATGATTTCTGACGTCACAGGAAGTAAACAGAGACTTGCCGATGATGAATTGATGAGATGGTTTCCGTTAAGATGGCGGAAGTGACGGACCCCAATTTACAGAACACCGGAAGTCAAAGGTTAAATAAAGCACCCTAATAGTGTATTTTGCTTAGTCGTCTTCGGTCTCGTGATGAATATTACTATAATATTCAATAAAATGTAATTATAGGCAACCTACCGTTTAATTGAAGTACCGCGATCACTTACCTTCAAACTGAACAAAATTATTGAAATTATAGCAAAGATATATGCAAGTTACATTTCGTATACTGCAATTTGTCCAAAAAACAGGACATAGATTTCCATACTATTTTATGCTGCTTTTCAATAAAAAATTATGTCCAATAAATGTCATTAGTTTACGTTTCACAGAAATAGGAAAGGATCGAATCACTTGACCTCTGTCCTCCTTAAACACAAACGGATACGCAGCAGTCTGAGGGTATGGCGACACACTTCTTCCTGCGGTTTCGTAACTCATATCTGCTAAGAGATCGTATTTCTGTGCTATACCTGTATCCCTTACTCAAATGTGTAACTTTTTGAGACACAAAAAAAATTGTCTTTGTTTTCTTCATTACATCTATATCATATGACAATTCATGACGCTGTGACGAATACCATTCATCAAGCATATGACTTCATCCTTCCGGAAAGATGAGAGGTCAGTAATTGTGATAAAACGGAACACAACTTCCGGGAGTAATGGTAATTAAAAAGCATGACTTGATTATAACGTATATTTTATCAAACTTTCGTTATCTTTAAATTTTACTTCCAGCGTTAGCAATTAATAGTATTATCCACGCTTTCATGGAAGACATTGTCAGTAATGAGATAAGAAACTTAAATTTCATATCGAACAATATAGATAATGCTGAAATGGCTGGTCGGCGTGCTATTTGTGAATAATATCTAAAGCGCGTAAGTCCTTCTGCAGACAGAAGCACATTGTATCAGAGACGTTTGCGAAAGCGGACGGAAAACCTATACCACACAAAACATACCTTTATAATAAACAAAATTTCCATATCATTGTTTGTTTTATACGTAAGCATTGAATATCAAATTTAAAATCAAAACCAGCTATTTCATTTTAACTTCAAGTAACACAGTAAATGCATGCACTATAACACTCTCCATTAATAGTTTGGTATGTTGTACAAATAGATTCCATCATGCATAAAAAATTCACCTTGCTTTCTGTTTATGTAAAACATTTTGCAAAATACACAAATTTTAAATAAAACCATGATACGATTTCGAAATGCACAACTGTACTCGTGATACCTTTGAACAATAAAACCAAGGTGTATAGACAAAGTAACCGATTTTTTTTTTCACTATTGAAATTCGATAATTTTGTAATATCAATCTCGAGTTGTTATTTCAAATTTGTCGTCACTGAAATGTGTGCGACAAGAAATCATTAATTATATCATGATAAATGAAATTCTCCCCCCCCCCCCCCGTAATTTCTCGAAATTTTTAACAAGTACTTTATCTTAGTTAACAGAGTACATCTAGATACTTACATTTCATTGTCCCCGAAGCATCCTGGTACGGTGTAACACGGAAGAAACGTATCCGTGGTTTTATATCGAGTTTGCAAAGTCCGGAAATCGTAAATATACAGGGGGCGTGGCTTGTATCATTGGGCACTGGTCACGGAGATCAATGTTCCTAAAATTTAATTAAAATCTCGTTAAAATCTCGCTAAAATCTCACGCTAACTCTAG